GTCTCCCTGATTGGGACCAATTTTGGTTCCAGTTGGGGTACACTTTTTGGTCAAACTTTCTCTAAATTGAAATCCGTTCGCACCGTTGCGATCAGACAATCGAATTCTATTCAACGACATACTTTTCATAATTATTTGTAATACCTTTTCTGACATCATATTTTTGGGTGGTTGACTTTGATAGAGTAAAAATTGGTTTAATTGACTTTTTTCATAAAAGGTTCTCTTATTTAATTCATATCAATTATTCTCATGATTTATTTTAACAAATCATTTAAATATTTACATTATAAACAAATTTTTCATTTACTCTTGATTTGGGTCTGTACTCAGGTTTCCAATCAAGACCACACAAAAAGTCAATATATTGGATTTATCTCTATGAGATTTATCCAGAGTGTGATAATAGATATCAAAACATATTTCGTATCGGCCCAAAGCCCAACAACAATTTATTTTAATCAAAACAAATTTGTTTAATCGAATAATTATTTAATAATAATTCTAGGGTATGTTTCGGGGCGTTACAGAGGGTCTCCTTTGTTTCTGGCTTGGACAAGACAATTTCCGAAGTCAGGTATGTCTTCAGCTCTTCGAATGCCCTGGCCCATTCATCATCCCACTGGAAGGTGTTGGCTTTCTTTAATACTTTAAAGAAAGGTAAGGCCTTCTCTGCCGACCTGGATAAGAACCGGTTTAAGGCCGCCAAGCGCCCCGTTAACCTTTGGACATCCCTTACCGATGTCGGGGGTTGAATCTCAACAATGGCTTTGATTTTCTCAGGATTTGGCTCAATCCCCCTCTTCGTGACCATGAAGCCCAAGAACTTCCCCGTTCTCACAGCAAAAACACACTTCTTCGGGTTAAGTCTAAGATTATGCCTAGCCATAATCTCAAAGCATTTTTCCAGGTCCTGAGCATGTGTGTCACTTGCCCTGCTCTTCACCAGCATATCATCAACATAGGCCTCCATGGTCCGTCCAAGCAAAGGCCTTAACAATTTGTTGACCATTCTCTGGTAAGTTGCCCCTGAGTTTTTCAACCCAAAGGCCATCACCTTGTAACAGTATGTGCCGTCCAGAGTGAGGAAGGCCGTCTTCTCCTCATCATCCTCTGCCATGAAAATTTGATGATACCCTTTGAAGGCATCCATAAAGCTGAGCAACTCACACCCGGCAGTTTCATCCACCATTTGATCCGGGCTGGGCAGAGGGTAATAGTCCATCGGGCATGCCTTGTTGAGGTCTGTGTAGTCCACGCACATCCTCCAAGTATCACCCTTCGGGGCCAGGACAACATTGGCCAGCCATTCAGGGTAGTTTACTTCCCTGATATGACCTACCTCAAGTAGGTCCTTGACCTCTTTCTTCACAAAGTCCCTCCTATCACTTGCCAAAAATCTCTTCTTCTGTCTTACAGCCCTAGACCCCTCAAGAACAGAGAGACGATGGCAAATGACTGACCGGTCAATCCCGGGCATATCAGCAACACTCCAGGCAAATAATGATTTATACCTGGTCAACACCTGGACAATCTCAGTCCTTAGCTCTTCCTGAAGATCAGCCCCAATTTTGACCTTCCTCTCAGGATTGGAGGCATCAATCTGGATCTCCTCCATGTTTGCATCCGGCTCAATCCTAGCCTTCTCCTCACCCTTGTCTACCTGCTTAGAGACCAATTCAATTTGATCGAACTGGCAGGTCATCTTCTTGACTGCTTCCAGGTAGCAGGACCGGGCATTCTTTTGATCACCCCTTTCCTCCCCGATTCCATTGGGAGTGTAAAACTTCATGCATAAGTGTGCCATGGAAATAATAGCCCTGACCTGGTTGATTCCAGGCCTACCCAGAATGGCATTATGCACACATTTGATGTCAACCACAACAAATCTCATTTGTTTGGTCACTGTCCTGTTACCTGACCCCAAGGTAACCGGTAAGGTTATCTGACCTTCCGCTTCTATGCTAGCTCCAGTGAAGCCTGACAATGGAGTTTGCAATGGCCTCAACATGGACCTGTCAAGCTTCAATTTCTTGAAAGCATCTAAGTATAAAACATTGACACTGCTTCATGTGTCAACTAGTACTCTGGCCACCTCAGCCCCGTTGATGTCCATTGTAATGACCAAAGGGTCATTGTGATCTTCCCCCGTCCTGGGCAGATCCCTATCAGTGAAAGTGATAGGTTCCCTTCTTGCCTGCTTTCCTTGTGGTTCCAAGGAAACCACCGCTACGTGTAAGCTCCTGGCCCAGCTCTTCCGCTGGGAGGCAGTGTCCCTGCCTTCCGGGCCACCGACAATCATCTCAATGAATTCTTTATCCGGATTGTTGTTATCCTTCCCGGATTTTCTCCTTCCCTGGTCTTTTCCCTGATGACGGGTCCAGGTGTTCGCTTTCGGGTCCTTCTTATTACCCGTCGCGTAACCTTCCCCAAGCTCTCCTTTCAAGGCCATCTCCTTGAGCACAGCCTTGACATTTCGGCAATCCACCGTATTGTGGGAGTCAGATTGGTGGTAGGTACACCACTTCTCCGTCCATGGCCTCTTGG